AAACAACATTAAATTAAATAAATTGTATTTTTACAACAAAACATTACATGTCAGTTCTTCCGCTGTCCATGCATGTCCCTATTTTTGCAGGCGTGGTATCTCTCATTGCACAGCACAGAAATAAAATATGGTTGTCAAGTTTGTGCTAAAATGTATTTTTACTATATTTACACTATATTTAAAATCCCTAATAAGGTTCACTATAAAACATTTTTAAATTCCAGATTTATTTTCATAAATTCCTGTTAATCTCCAAAAAAAGTTTGCAATTTTATGCTTTTTCTGAAGTTTTGCAACCCTACTAACTGCAATGCATCCGTGTATTTACTGTTGACAGGATAAAAAACCCATAAAAACACTAAAACTGTACTTTCAATAAAACAGGGAGGCTCTATTGAGTTTTAGAGTCGCTTTGCTTCTTCAGCAACCGGAGACACCAGTTTTTTCAAAGGATGGATGAAATCAGAGGATTACCAAGGCAGCTTACAGCAAAAAGGTGTCGTCCAGTTTCAGAAAACTGAAAAGAAGCAAAGGTCTTGGGGTCTTTGGGGAGGAAAAAAAATGTATGATTTAGACATCCAGAATGAGAGCTTCAGCTGTGAGTCATAAATTCTGCTGAAAACATTTAGAGAACTTGGTTCTGACAATAAAAAAAAGAAACATGCAAATATTAAAATAAGCTTGAATGGACTGCATTAACAGAGCGACACAAACTGTCAGCAATTAAGTGGAAGGAAATTCAGTCGCGAGGAACGCGTGCCACTTAAAGGTCAAAGGTTTTGCATATTAATGAGTGAAAAAATCACCCTTTTGTTACCATTCTTCATAACATTTGACATCTTATTTAGAATTGAACAAAACAGACTTATTTCAGTTTATTTCCAAGGAAACAATGAGTTCTGCCTTCAAAAAGGCTCARTAATTCTGACCAGCATTTTGTGAATTGAACACTCTGATTCCCCAAAGAAGCATTTCATCAGAACAAGGCGAACTGAGTCATTATGGTCCACCATGATGCATCCATCCARCCCTTCCCCCCCTCCTGCCTCCCTCAGAGCTCTATGAAATATAAACAGACATTCACAAAATGCAGCTCAATCCTCAGAGACACACTTCCTCCAACCGTTTCATCCTCTCCACTCCTGTATCCTCCTGCTTTGTGCTTTCATTTCACGCTCCCTCCTTCTTTCCCCGCAGCTCCTCTACCTATCTTTCTCTCATTCCCCCCTCCTTCTCTCCATCCTTTCCCCCCTGTTTTCTTTTAGTCTTTATCTTTGTGGGAGGTGAGGGGTTTTAAATCACCCGTGAGATGCGCACACAGTCTGCGACCTTCATGAATCACAGTCTCTTGGACTTTTTTCATTTTCTCTCTTTATTCTCTTTCACGAATTTCCTTTATATTCCCAAATCTTTTAAGTGGGGCACCCCCCCCAAAAAAACACTCCTCCTCCAACACCATCCCCACCGCTCTCATCCTCATGCATTGTCCAGCTCGCCTCTTTGTTTTGTCTCTCTCATTTATAAAAGGTGTTCAGTTTCACACGGTGATCCTGAGGTTAAAATCAGCATAATTTTGCATTATTCTTTCCTTTTTTCCACCTCCCTTTAGACGATTGTTTCTCCAATTATATTTTCTAAAGAGATTGCGCAATCAAACCTGACATGAAGAGTATCTATGTAAATTCAGTTCAATATGCTTCAGTGAGTCACCATGTCCTCTCATTTAACTCAAGGAAAGTGGAGAGCGGCTTACTGAGAGCTGTCGACCTGCTCAACCAGCCCTTCACACACACACATACACACATTGCACATGCAATTCTGCACTCTTCAATAATGTCGTATGTCTTACCCAAGAGGCACAAAAATACTTGGAGTAGACAGCAATTGTTCTGTGTGGAGACAATATCTTACCTGTTGTAGATAGCTCTTTATGTTATCTTAATTTGAAGATATGAAGGTTAATAATAGTGGTGTCCTGATACCATCATTTTCACAAGTACTCATTCAAAATGTCCCGATACACATAATCAATATATACCAAAATAAATATTGGTAAAGATACTCCAATAAATGTGCTCCAGTTCACATTTCAAGTTTAAAGTTTGCCAGTTTCATATTTAAGAAATTGATACAAGTTCAAAGAAAATAAAGAAAGCTGGTTTCGATTTTGCTTTATGTAAAATTTACACAATGTAAAATAATATAAATGTGATTATTATTAGGTTTCTATTAGACAAACCTGAGCTGTTAAGTAGATGCTTAGTTAATATCAGTAGAGACAAGTTTCATTCTAAAGCATAACTGGTTTTGCAGTGAACATTTTCTAAACACTGCTTGGTAAAGATTTATTATTATTTATGACAGGTAAGAAATAATGAAAATAATTTATTATATATTATAGTTTATTATTATATTATTATTACTGTAGTTGAAGTCATTTTTTTCAACAAGCTAAATGTCTAAGTTACTGACCAGTTTGATTCATCGTTAATTATAAATAATGTATTTTTCCTATATCCTCTACTGTTGTACATGATTGTTAAATTAAATTAACATAATTATTTAAATTTATTGTATAAAAATATTACAGATAATTTGTGACACAGATCCAGTTGCTGTTAATCAATTTTTTTTGTCAGCTGTCGCCCTGTTTGGACGCCATCTTTGCTCCTCCATGTTGTCACAGATGCAGGCAGTGGGTGGGATAGAAGAGGCTCACTCTAGTGGTATTTAACTCTACGGTTCTAACTTAGTAAGTACTATTAATTGGTACTTTGTATCAGTGATTACCCAAACTGAAGTACTTGTACTCATACTCGGTTTCAGAAAATCTGATATCGGGACACCCTGAGTTAATATGACCTGCTTGACAAACTGAACACTACTTTGATCAGGTGGATTCAAGAGGATCGTTGGCTTTTTAAATTGTCTCAAATCTCCCAAAATTCATAGTTTTTCTTGTAAGTGTTTTTTGTACAAGCCTCTCGCCATCAGTTTTTTATTACAATGGTTACTGACATACGTAAATATAACAGCAGCAGAAGCTCACTGTAGCACTGTGCAGCCTGATGTAGTGGTAATTTTGAAATACTTTTACCAGAAAAGTTGTGTAATGTAAAAATTATGGCAAGGCCATGAGAACTGGGGGTGCTGAGGTGCTACAGTATCATCTTGTGGATGACAAGAAATAAGTCCAGTATAAGTTAATCAATAAGAAATTACTGTTTGAGAAAAGAAATAAAAAACAAATATTCAATTGTGTTATGTAAGTTTGTGATTGGATTTTATTTTTATGAAAATGACTCATTGACAGTGGTGGGCAGCGCTAATCCAAAAATTAGCTCCGCAATTTCTAAAGCGCTTATGAAAATATTTAAGTCCGCAACTTCAAAAATGCTCATGGCATAGAGAAACTAGTGGAAGCTAATTTTAAAGCACAGGTTCAATTTGATACTTACTAGCTGTCAATAATTCACATACAACATATACACAACACTGCCAACTAGTGATGTATGAACATTTGTACAGCTTAATCCTACAATCGCCGATTTCTGGGGATGTGATTTCCTGAAACAGACCTTTGGCTCCTGGTGTAAAAATTAAAAAGTTGTTGAGGATTGYTAGTTCGGCTGATTCTTTGTCTTTTTCTTTTGTTTGTTGTAGATTTTTCATTAAAGAAGCATCAATAAAGTAATTTTAAAACTGTTTATTGGAAAACTGAAGCGATGCATTCTGGGTACATGATTGATTTGATTTGTGACGGGAAATGAAAGTTTTCCATGTAGTTGCTCCAGTTGACCACTAGATGTCTGTCTAACCCTGTTGGCGGATTGCTTCGACCAATTACGTCAAGTATTGAGCTCCAGCGTTTAAACTTTTTTTTTAAAAGGAGCTCCGATTGTAAAGTAAAATAAATCAATACATACAAAAATTTAATATGGATTATAAACGTTTACTGTTTTTGCTGGGAAAGAGTACTAAACATTGCCTTCCTGCTACGTAAGCAGACACAAAGCATTGTGGGAAATGAGAACCATGACCGAGAGCAACAATCAGCAAGGATGTATACGTTTCCAATAAGTGTGTTTATCTGGGAGGGGTGCTGTTGGATAGATCGTGTGTGTTGTGATTCATTGACAGCCATACTTTCGCTGTTCAAGATAATGATGACTGGTAGATAATTAGTTATTAGCKGCACTGCATGCTAATTTTAGAGAGCGCAAATCCGCTAATGAGTTATAAAAATTAGTAAGACCACAAAAGCGCAAACGAAATATTTAGGTCCGCAATAGCGGATTTGCGCTTTAGCAGACTGGTGCCCACYACTGGTTATTAATGAGGAAAAGTAGCTGGCTGCATGTTTGAGGTAAAACAGTTTATCAGCCTTGACAGGTTCTTACAGCACCAAATATGTAAAATCCCAAATAAACTCTTTTTCTACATACTGAAGTCATTCAAAGAGCTATCTACAACAGGTAAGATCTGTTTATAGCCTTTCCACAGAACCCCACTTGAAAAGAGCWGACAGGTAATGAGTTTTACACTCATTTCAGACACCTGAAAAGCAAACAAGTTGCAACATTTTGGAGATGACATCCTCATTATGGTAATTCTTCTTCTACCACTGTGAATGATAAACACACAGACCCAAAGCTAAAAAGCACACAAAGACAAAAAAAATTAATTCTCTGCATGCCTCCTCTCCTTCAAGTCTCTTAGTAAAAAGAAATCTCTGGCAGGCATCAGAAGACGCAGGTAGGGGGGGAAACAGGAGTGTATTCATATGTGTGTGTGTGTGTTCTTATTCGTGCAGAGTCCCTGCAGAAACCAAAGCTGCGCTYAAAGATGTAAGCGTTGCTCTGAATGCTGATATACACAGCCAGAGGTGAGCTAGATGAGGCGATGAAGATGGAGCTGGTAAATACCGGGGAGTCTAAGCGATGAGAAACACACTGCCTGCCCGGTGGGAGTGTGCGGGGGAGGAAGCTCTTGTCTCTCACCTGCCAGAAGATGTTGTCAATGGTGTTGCCCAGAAATCCTTCTCTGTTGTCGGACGACAGCAGCTTAGGCCCCAGTATCGTCATGAACTCCTCAAAGTCCACCTGGCCGTCCCCTGCAGGTGGACACAGGACAAAATAAAATCAGACTGTGAGACAGGAAGCTCRGCAGAGCAGAGTTAAATCTTGCAATGTTCTTCAAATAAAAAGATGGCTCAACAGATGAGTGGGACATAATGGTATCAAAACACTATGACATTTTCTGTAAAATGCCAAATGAATGCTGAGCATTGAAAAAGCTGAACATAAAGCTAAATGCTACATAAAAATGCTAAAAGTAGCAAAGTATCAAAACACTATGTAAATGCAGCAAAATATTTGCTGAAAGCTAAAGCAACAAAAGGCTTACTAAAAGCTAAAACAAGCCAAACACTAGCTAAAAGCTAAAATAGGCAAAATGCTAGATAAAAGCCAAAGATGCTCTTTCTAACCTAAAAGCAACAAAATCCTAGACGCAACCTAAAAATATCAAAACACTACATAAATGCAGCAACATATTTGTTGAAAGCTTAGCTGAAAGGTAAAATAACAAAAGATTTACTATAAGCAGCAAAAAACTACTTGAAGGTAGAAAAAGACTAACCAAAAATAGCAAAATAATGGCTAAAATTTATTTTACAACAAGCTGAAAATAGCAGAATGACAGATAAATGCAGCAAAAGACTAGCTAAAAACAGCAAAAGCACAATAAACAAAATAACAAAAATCTCACTAAAAGTTAAAAGCTGGAAGGTAAAGAAGCAAAGGTTTTCTCAAAGTATTCAAACACTAGCTAAAAGTAACAAAAACTAACTAAAAGTAGGAAAATTATAACTAAAAACAGCAAAAGATTAACTGAAAGCTAAAGTAACAAAAGGTTTACTAAAGGTTAAAAGTAGCTAAACACTAGCAGCAATAAGCAAAATGTTAAATAAAAGCCAAAGATGCACGTTAAAAGTAGCSAAATACAGGTTAAAATCTAAAAGCAGCTAGAAGCTACTAAAAGTAGCCAAATATTAAAAGTAGCAAAAGACTAACAAAGTGCAAAATAGTAGCTAAAAACTAAAGGGATCAAAACAAGAAGCTGAAAGAAGTGAAATGATAGGTAGCTAAATGCAGCAAAAGCATAGCTAAAAGCGACGCTGGAGCAAACTTTTCAAAGAACGATGTTTTAGTCAAAACAGGGGAGATTTAAATGACTTCTACGTAAATAAAGTTAACATCAATCTCTTAAATGAGCTGAACTTTTTGAGATGTGAACAGCTGCACAGAAAGAGGTCGATTGCAGGAAAGTAGAAAATAGTGTAAAAGCTGAATCAGCATTCAGACAACAAACATTAACCATTTTATACAGCAAGTACATGATTTGTGAGTTTGTGCGTGAGTGTTAGTTTGGTGACAGATTAGGAAACATTTGGCAAATTTGAATTCAAAGGACACAGCTTGTAAATGTTTGCATTCTGCTGCAGCCTGTGGTTAATAATATCCATCAACAGCCTGAACGCCTCCACAACCACAGGTGGATTTATTTCTTGCATATAGTTTATCTGTTACCATGACTGATGCTACTGCAGGATTATAGTTTTATTAAATGCTCAGCTCATTATGTTTCATAAAGAAGCGGGCAAGAAGTAAGTAGTGTTATCAGGAGGAGACTTTATTTCATCTGTCTACAATTTCTGTTTCATCAACTTGTAATTTGGTACAAAATATATAGAGCATTTAGAGAACGCTCTGGCAATAAATGCATTTTATATCTGCTGTCTCATTTAAAACATTTTGTAGTTAGACAACAGATGGCCAAAAGCCAATATTTACTTGCTTCCAAAGAAAAAGCATTTTCCCTTCAATTGTTGCACCAATAATATCTGAGAAAGGATCAAAAACTAACAGAGGATGACAAACTTCTGTAATACAGAATGTTACGGTGTGTGCATCACYGCACAACCTGAATGACTCACCAAAAAAATGTCACTCTGCAGCAACATAATTAAAWCTTATTTAAGACTTACTTAAGGCTTAAAAGCTGAATGGAGGATAATTCCAGATCCGAGCGGATCATAAATTCTGAAGCGCGTCTTTAAAAAAATGTAAAATGCAACTGAAAACCTGTGCAGGTTGTGATAGGGAGATTATTAGGAGTCAGATGTTTAAAGGGTTTGGGGCGAGATACCATCTGGGCTCAGAACAAAYGGCAGCGCTGCTCTCAGGTGGTCAGTTATTCATGGAGGCAAAAGCAAAAAGCTTTTAGCTCTGACCTTTGAGATTTACAGCACGCTGTGAACTGTGAAGCCAAGTGCAGTCAGATAAGGACCCGCTGAAAGACGGAATGGATTGTTTCTGATGCCGGGCACTGCCTGGGAAGAACTGAACTCTTTCAGGAATTTACATGTGGAGCTAATGTTGAAGTGGACGAAGTAGATMRAATTTATTTATTTATTCATCCTTTCAGGAGAAATTTGGTTTTGACCCCTGACCACCTGCTGTTCCTTAGACCTTTTAGAAACTGGATGGAGGAAACATGTTTGAAGAAAATATAGGTTCAAGCCACATTTTTGCAAGTGAAAGCAGCTAAAATTCAACACCAAAACATTTATACAGGAAACTGTCTTGAAAACATTTCTTTTTAGGAAGGAGCACAACGAATGCGACCCATCGTTTCAAACTGAGGGTTACAGTAAATCTCCAAGTGTTAATTCAACTAAATATTTAGCACAGCTCACTGACATTTTAAAAGGCATAAAATCAAAAGAGTTTGTGATTCTTTTATCAATATGAATTGGGCTGATAAAACTTCCAAAGGCYTGAAAGCAATGTCTATAAACTTAGGGCTTCAACAATTAAAGTACCAACAAGATTTGGCAAGRCATGCAATTCCATTTTGGATCTTATTTTCACAAATCGATCCTCCATATATGACATATCTGGAGTTATAAATACTTCAATCTCGGATCATTCACTTATTTATGTCATTAGAAAAAACCTTAAGAAACCTACAGGTCATGTGCATAATTTCATTAAAAGGATTCCAAAATCAAAGTTACCCATGTTTCATGCTGAGATTGAGAGAGAATACTAACTGGAATGAGGGTATTTCTCTGTCAAATCCAAATTACATTTTGCCAAATTTTATGATAAGTTGGAGACAATACAGGTAAAATATATTTCAACTTGTAAAGTTCCAGTCCGGAAAAATAAAATTCAATAAAATAACTGAACAAATATGTGCTGCTTTGAACAAAGGTCAAGTAACCGGTGC